GGGCCCTTTGTCCTAGGCCCTCTCCTTAGGGCCGGCCGCGGGGCTCCCGGTGTGCAACCCCTGCTCCCAAAACACCCAGCCCTCGTGGCTGTGTGCCAGACCTTGCCATGTGCCGGCCGGTCACAGGCCGTCCCGCTGCTGCCAGTGGGGACAAGGCCTCGCCAACATCCCCCAGACCCCGGCAGGGCCCTCAGCCTTCAAGGTCCTGCCACCAAAACCGAGCTCACCTCGTGTCTGTCCTCTCCCGCAGGCTCCGAAGTTGGCTGAGACCTACTGCGTGTGCCACCTGGCAACCGGGGACATGCTGCGGGCCATGGTGGCCTCAGGATCCGAGCTTGGCAAGCGGCTCAAAGAGACGATGGACGCGGGGAAGCTGGTGGGTAGCGGGGAGATGGTCTGACAGCACCTGGAACGAGAGCAAAGTCCACCTCGTAATTAGAAGCCTTAGTGACAAAACCTAATTAGTGAAAGAAGGCAGATTATAGGGTGACGGCAGGGGTGTGGGTTGTCATTATCCTGCAGGAGAAACACCGTATAAAAACATTGTTGCTTTTCAAAATTGCTACTTGCTTACCCGCAGCCTCTCTGGCCCTGAGCTGGATCTTTCCACCGTGGTGCTTTTATGTTCATGGGGTGCAGCCTGGGTTGTGGCTCCTGAGCGCTGTTTGAGGTGGAGGTTTATCCTTGGAGCTGCAGGATGTTACAGCCACGCATTGCGACTCCTGTGCCTCTTTACCACGCGGTGCCTGGGTCCCTGTGGGGTGGAAGAGTTTGTTCAGAGGTTTCATCTGCATCCCGGCTCTTGCATAAAAAGCCATTTGCTTGTAACTGTAAGGTGAAAATAGACTCGGGGCTGTTGCTGTGGTAGTACAGTGGGTGCTGCCTAATGCTGCGTAAAAGGGACACTTTGGAGCCCCAAGAGACAAGAGTTGGGAGCTCTGACACGTTCATTTTCTGAAGATCTAATTATCTTGCCAAAATGACTAAAATACCTCGAGGAAATTTGAAGGACACCAAACTGCAGTGACTCGCCCCAAAGCTAAGCAGTGTGGAACAGATCTTGGGTGCTGCTGCTGGCTGTCACGGGCTTGTAACACCCCACAGAGAATCTGCAGGCCCCGGGTGGGAAGAACAACGTGGCTTATCTCCAGCTTTTGCTCAAAGCTTGCATTGCAACACCGAGCCTGCACTATCCCAGCTGGTTATGAAAGATAGGGACCTTATCGGGCCGGGCTGGTGGTATCTGCCCCGTGTGTGCGGCAGCCGGCACCGGGCAGCTCTGCAGGTGTGTTCCTGCAGAGTCCTCTGGCTCTGCGATAACTCAGCTGGGAGCACTGCAGAGTTTGGAGCCTGGGATGGGTTTTTATGCTCGATTACGAAGCAGGACACCTTTCTCTGAAAGAGGTAATCAGGAAAGCACAGAACTTCACCCAAAATGCCCCTCCTCGACCCATACACTTACCCTGTCCAGGGCTCTTGTTTACATCCCCAATCCTGCTGCGTCCCGGCTGCGTGTGCTGGAGAAAACAGCGCTGCTGAGGAGAGCTGCCCTCGAATAAACAGCGATTGCTGGGGCTGCAGCGTAGAAAAGGCACCAATGCCAGCGGTACACTGGTATTATGGCATGAGAAAAAACTCTCCTGCAAGGGCAGAGCTTGTCAGCAACCGTGGGGTATTTACCTTCATGTGAGGTTTGCGAGAGTCAATGAGGAACTCGCTTGCTCTGCCCTTCCCATGTGTGGGTGAAGGTACAAAGTAGCAGGAAATACGGGTTATGTCGATATTTTGTATTGTTAATTGGTTTTTAAATACATCTAGGGAGTTTGTCTTCAGGCTGACCCTTTCCCCTTGAAATACAGCAACTTTTGTAACTGAAGTTACAGCGCTGGTACAAGTCCCTGCACAGGCTGGGGTGTCCTTGGGGGCAAATGCCTCATGAGCCACGGTCTGAGGGTTGACACCCTTGGCAGGTCTGAACACGCCACTTTTGCCCTGTCACAGCAGTGCCCTGCGCCGTGGCTGCTGCCTCCAGGACCAGGAGCGGCTGTGGAGGCTCTGATGGAGGCTGGGTGCAGTGGTCATGTGTAAAATTGGGGTGTTTCCTGACCACATACCCGTCTCTCTTTGCAGGTGAGCGATGAGATGGTGGTGGAGCTGATTGAGAACAACCTCGACTCCCCGCCCTGCAAGAACGGCTTCCTCCTGGATGGCTTCCCGCGCACGGTGAAGCAGGCCGAAATGGTACGTGAGCTTTTTGGGGACTGCTCTGGCATCTCCTCCCTCCTCGGAGGCAGTGGTCCCTTGGCTGTGTCTCTGCCCCTCTGAGCTGGGGTTTCCTGTTGCAGCTGGATGAGCTCCTGGAGAAGAGGAGAGAGAAGCTGGACTCTGTCATCGAGTTCAGCATCCCCGACTCCTTGCTCATCCGGAGAATCACTGGACGGTAATTCTCCTCTCCCAAATGCTCGGTGCATGGGGTGGGGTTTTCTAGTTTAGGGGACAGCATCCCAATTTTGGATCCTCATGTTATTCTCACAGTATTTAGGGCTAACTGCAGTGCTGGTCTGTGTTAGATTTCTGCTCTGTTTGAGCCTTCCTGCCCTGATCCCTTGCCTGCTCTTGAACACAGCCCCGTTGCTGCCCTATCAATAGAGGTTGCTGATATGAATCAAAGTCCTTGGTGACCCAGCTCAGCCTTTAAGCCGGTGTCTGACAGCTCACATCTTCATGCTCTTGCTCCTCTGGAGCAGTAAAAGCCCCTTTACACAGGACACTACACACGTATTTGGGTACTGCTGGGCATCCTGTCCAGAGTCAGCTGTGGCCGTGCAGGCACAGACGTCTCTCGCTGTCTGCTGTGGCACTGTCACCCTCACACCTACAGGAGCCAGCCTCCTTCCCCGTAAAGCATCAAATAAAATCCCTTCTCCATTTCCTAGCACAGCTGCTTTTTTTCAAGTGCTTGAAGAGGCCCTTGGTACAGAAATAGCTAGAAGAGATTTTTTTCTTAATAGAGGCTAATTGGGTTGCTACTGCAGATGTTTCTGCACGGGTGAGTGGCAGGTTCAGGAGACGTCGTCCTGGCACTGGGCTGCTTTGCTGACATTTGCTTTTTGTCTTAGGCTGATTCACCCAGCGAGCGGCCGCTCTTACCACGAGGAGTTCAGACCCCCGAAAGAGCACATGAAGGACGATGTATGTGAGCTCCCGAGGCCGAAGCTTGTGTTGCTTTGGGTTTAGCTGATGCTTTGCAGCATCCCTGGAAAAACTCACTTTTTTTTTTTCCTTCTCTTGTACCTTCTGTCCTGGCTTTCTGGGGAGCGTGGGGAACTGCCTGGGCAGCCTGAGCCAGCGGCACCGTAGGGAGCAAGGCCTGGAGGGCTGAGTGAAGGGCATGGCCGTTCTGCAGAGCTGGCCTGGGGCTCCTTGGGCTCCTTTTAGGAAGCGGAGCAGTGCGTGTGGGAAAGACCACGATGCTGAATCCTTCTCTCTTCAGTGACTGCTGTGGGACTTGGTTTGGCTGCCCTGGGTTTGCTTTGCTCTGCTCTCCCGTGCAGACCTGGGGATCCTCTGCAGCTCCGCATTGTAGCCTGTCTTGGAGGAGGGGAGCAGGGGTTGTCATAGCTGCGGAGAGAAGGGGGGAGCGTGCCAGGCTGCAGCAAGCTGGAGACTGTCCCTTGCTTCTCCCAGGTCACTGGAGAGCCCCTGATCCGCCGCTCGGACGATAACGAAACAGCCTTGAAAACCCGCCTGAAGGCCTATCACACGCAGACCGCTCCCTTGGTCTCCTACTACAGCAAGCGAGGGATCCATACGGCAGTGGATGCCTCCCAGTCTCCCGACGTGGTGTTTGCCAGCATCCTGGCAGCCTTCTCGAGAGCAACATGTAAAGACCTGGTTATGTTCATTTAGGGCTCTGTCCCAGGATGGAGCTCTCCCTTCTTTCTCTCTCTCTGTCTCTCCGTTTCTGTCTCTTTGGGGCCAGGGAGGGTGCAGAACCAAGCAGAGTAGACAAGGAGGGGTGAAGACGACGCAGCCCAAGGCAGGGCTGTGCTGATTCTCTATTAAACACGCTGTTAACGGTCTCTATCTCAGTATATGTGAACGTCGATGCTGGAGATTTGGCCCCTAGAGGTCGCAGCGAGCCCAAGCACCAGCTGCCACAAATGGGGTTGCAGCCTTTTGGGTCTAAAGGCTTTTGTTTCGTTGCAGAGATGTAGCTCCCTGGAAGGAGCTGTGCTCTCTGCTTCTCCTGGCTGCTCCAGAGGGGGTTAGAGAAGGTTGGAGATCAGGAGGACCTTCACAGGGTGCTGGATAGGTGATGCTTTGTGGCTGCAGGAAATGAAACACGGGGTTGCTCGTGGGGAGCACGTGAAGGGCTGTGCGTGTCGGCCGTGGGAGGGAAGGCTTGGCTGTGCGTGTGGGTGCAGCCTGCTGCTGCTCGGGGCTGGGTGAGAACTTGTCCTCGTTGTGTGTGCTTGATTCTCCGTAGAACAGCAGGTTACCTCAGAGCACAGCCCGTCTTCCTCCTGTTGTGATGGTGCTTGTGGGGTGGGTGAGAGCTGGGGTCCTCATTTGTGGACCCCAATATAGCAACAATTTATCAGATGCTCTTTTTGTTTACTTTTTTCAACAACATGAAGTCTCTGGTCAGTCTGGCAGTCACTGTGTGTGGCAAGTTGGGCTCTCCTGAGGACAAGAAAACGACTTGGGTTTTATCTCTTCACTCTTGTCTTGGCTTTGGCCATGGAGGTGAAGATGTGTTGAGCTTCTCTTGATCCCAAAGTCTAAATAAACCCTTATTGTAAAACAAATTTATTTTTCAAGGTCTGAGAGACAGAGCTATTAACCACTGGCTTCATGTGCCCTTGAGCCAACGACCTTGGTTATGAGATCATGGAAATGTACTTGTTTCTCTGTCAGGCTCTCCATCTGAGGACACCGTGTGCGGGGTGGTTGGTGCCCCAGCTTCTCAGGGCCGTTACGCTGCTGTGTGGTGACCCTGCAAGGCTGGTGATGGCCTTTGCCCACGCAGGGCTCCAGCCCTTCCTACAGGACCCTGCTGTAAACACAGATTGGCCCAGGGGAAACTTTGTCCTTTGGCCTTCCATGTCTGTTTACTGATGTAGTGTTACTGAGTACCCTATGCACTGAGCTGCTGAGGGTTGTGTGTCCAGAGCTGATCTCTAATCCTCAGGAATCCCTTCATTTTCCTCTTGAAAACTTAGATTCTGTCTGAAAACCGCTCCCTGTCCTTGTACCTCCTTTCCAAGGAAACAACCTCTTCCCTTCCAGCAAACTGGAAATAACACCAGGAACTGAAAGCAGGTGACTTGTTGCTCTTGAAAGCACGTGATGGCGGGGAGAGAGGTTTGAAAGTAAACGCTGCTGGTTTTGTCAGCAGCCTCTGCAGTCCCCTGAGATTTCCCAGATGGCCGCTGCCTTCTTGATCGTCTCCGGTTTTCCTGTGCAAGAGCAGCCCTGGCGCGTGGCAGCGTGCTGGGAGGTCGGGATAGGATTTAGCATAGGAAGGCTGTGCTGCAGGGTGGTGGAGAGGGACGTGTGTTAGAGCTGTCCCGGCATCTCGGTGACTGTAAAGAAATTCTGAGTGGAAGCAGCTTTTATCTTGGCACCGAGAGTCAAAGAGGAGAGCTGCAGCCCCGTGTGCTGCTGTAATGGCAGAAGGGGTTCCTGGCCAGTTGGTGTCTCTGGATTTGCTCACCGTTTTCTTCCACAGCAAGAACAGTGTGTTCTCCACTCTCCGTTCCTTTTCCTCTTTGTGCTCACTTTGCATCCAGCTCGCCAGCCTTTTTCTGCCATAAACCATGATTAATTCTGGTTTTTTTTTTTTCCTAAATCTTTTTTTTTTTCTTTGTTCCCATTTATTCCAGCTGAGTGACTCCGTGAACCGGATGAGACACCACCAAACGCTGCACACTCTGCTACATCACCCATTGCATCCCTCCCCTGGGGGCAGGGGAGGCAGGGGGGGCAGCTGGGAGGGGGTTACGACTGATGGGAGGGGAATGAGGCGGTGGTAGACAAGGGGCTCAGGGGCTGATTGGGTTGGGTTTTGTTTGGATTTCTTAGCAGAATCATTGTGAAGAGGAGATGGTCTCCTTAGAAACTGCAGTTTGGGGAGGTAAAACAATTGTACAGAGCAAAGCATCTCTACCAGTGATCAGATGCAGGTCCTTGACCTGGTGGGAGGGTAGGGCCAGGGGCCGTTTTGGGCTCCTCCAGGACTTTCAGGGTTTATCTCTTGGGTTCTTGGTGCTCCGAGGCCACTGCAAGGTTTGCTGTGATTTTTCTAAAGTCGAGGACCAAAATGAACAAATGACTCATCACTTCTGAAATGGAAAGGAGGAAAAAAAAACAAGATGCCATTGTCTTTTCCTGGAAGTTTTTGTCTTTCTTGTTCTGCTGCATTCCTAAACCCACGGAGACTTCTCAGGGTTTCTCTGCTGCTGACCAGAGGGGCTGCGGCTCGACTCCAAGCCTGCCTTACCTGGCAATAGGGTGGCTTTGCTGTGATCTTGACCAAGCTGGAACTCACACAATGACGAAGAAATGCAAAAGAGACTTTTCTTAATTGACTGCAAAAAAAAAAAATAACACTTAATTGGGTTGGTTTTTTTGCATTTCTTTTTAGATCAAATGGTGCCTTGTCTAACCTCTGAATCAATAATAAAATAACCCCTTTTACATTTTGTATCTGTGGCTGTGTCCTCTTTGACCTGCAGACAGCGTGGAAGAGGAGAGGAGGCAGATGACAGCACAGCCAACGAACAACTGCGCTGGGTGGATCCTTGGGCCTGATCCTATCTCAAGGAGGTTGTTCTGTGCAGTTGGAAACGTGGCTTGTAATTCCTTTAATCTCTGTTCCTTGCTGAGTGTGTTCCAGTGCTTTACATCGCCATAGCAATGGTGTCTTGCTGCTTTTCTCTCATTTCTTCATGTGTGATGGTAAAAGCACTGACCCCCTGCGTATCCTGACCCTTCCTGGTCAGAGCTCTTTTCAGGTATTTTTAACTGATGTAATTCCTACCCTTTTCCCTCTCCTTTTGCATCGCTAGCATGTGGAGGAGCTGATGTTATTTCTTTCTCTCCTGCAGTAACTGTAAGCCACATACTGTGTCTTCTGTTTCTGCTCATTTGCTTTCTGCCTTTCATACCTTGTTGCATCCCTCCCTTGCCCTCCATGGCTGCTCCTCTCTAGGCAGGGCAAAACCTCTCCTGCAAGAAACAAGAGCATTTTCTGGCCTCCCATTATCCCACCTCCTTGAGGACCCTGACCCTGGCTCTCTGAGGTATCAGAGGCTGTTCTTATTGTGCTGATGGAGGGTTGCTGCTTTTCTGCGATGCCCTTGGTACCCACCTTGCAGCCCTGCTCGTGTTCAGGGCTTTGGCTCAGGCACCAGAAAGGGTCAGGCTGCTATGCCCATTTCCTCCAGAAATTGCTGGTTTCTTTGACATTAATTTGGCTTTCTCCCTCCTCCGCCATTCAGTCTCTCTGTGCTCTGGTGTTTTTATTACCTCTGTACCTCTGATTAACATCATCTCTCTTCTGAAGGCGAGCTTGTGCCTCTCTGGCATTTGTGGTGCTCTTCCCTTGTTTCTTTTGATGATGGATGTTAAACTATGCTCTTCCTCGTGGTTTGGGATTGTGTCCTGCTGCTGTTTTAAAAACCTGTTCTGCCTGCCTCTCCTGGCTTTCCAGTACGTGGGATGGAGAAGTCTTGGCTCCTCTGAGCTGAGCTTCGTCTGTTTGATCCTTACCCCAGTGTGGAGCGTGAAATGAGTTGTTGGGGTGCAGTGGGAACAGCTGCTGTGGGGAGGCTGTTTTGCTCAAGCCTGCATCCTCTGTAGCTGGATCTGTTCTGTGACCTGTCTCTGTCATGCTGACCTTGAATGTTTTCCACCGCACGTGATGCTCTGCAGGTGCTGTAAATTCCTTCTCTTCAACGATTTCACTCCAGCAAGCTGCTTATCAGGCGCTCTTTTGAAAACTGTGTTCGTATTTCATACACACAATTATCCAGCAACTATAAAAGGGGAAAATTCCTATTTATAGCACAAGGACCAGCATCAAATAGGACACTGAATTCTCGCTGATAGAGGAAATGACCTGTTCTCTAATGCAGCAATCTTTCTGCTGAAAAGAAACAGCATCTTGGATGGGAAGGGGGAGGGATGAAAAGCCCTGGGCCATCTCTTTCCATTAAAAATGTGCTGCAGTCCTAAAAATACAATATCTGCCCTTCTCCCTTCCCGATGAAACCATCTGCGAGAGAGAGAGATTGCAGCAAAACCTTTCACTGTGGATTTGTGGTTAGTAATGAGACCACTGACTCCTGCTGGTCTGGTTTGGAGCTTCTCTTTAAGTTTCTGATCGATCCCTGATCTCTGACCTTGCCCTGGGAGTGAGGAGAAGCCACTGCAGAGCGCCTGCAGCGGGCAAATGGCACAAACCCCTCCTCTGCATGGAGTTTGTACAATCACAGCACACATGTGCACGGCTCTGACACAGAAAGAGCACGTGGGGCTGGGGAACAAAGAACTGGCTGAGAGCAGGGAATGGAGGAGGTGGGAAGAGCACTGGGGACACGGGTGGGAGCTGCTGCAGAGAAGGTGAGTGTTTTGTCTGAGCCTGCACCCAGGTATGTTGAGCCACAGCTTCCCCCATAGCCATACTGGTGTCACTGGCCTTTGCTGCTGTTCCCAGTTGTCACCCTGTCCTTCCCCTGGTCTCTTTAGCAAGAGCTGCAGTGGGTGATACCAAGGCCCTGGGCGGTGGAGGACCAGAGGATGGGATTCCCCCTCTGCTGTCGCTGTGGCAACGGTTGGGAAGAGAAGGGAAGCAGCAGTGGGGCGCTGGGCTGGGCGGCGTGGAGGGGTGTGGAGGCTGCGGAGGCAGGGCTGCGCTGACATCACGCCGGGGAGGTGGCGCAGAGGGGAAGGGGATCGGAAAGGGAGAGCCAGGGAGACTGCGGAGGGAAGGGAGCTGCATCGGGAGTGGGCTCCAGGGTGAGGTAAGAGGCGCTCCCGGGGGCACTGGGTCAGGGTGGGCTCCATGAGTCCTCGGCGTTTTTCTGGCTATCGTGGAGGTGTGGGATGGTTCTTGGGCAGCAGCAATATTACACAATGCCCTAACAGCCTGGCACAGCAGGGCTTGGTTCTTGGGCAGCGAGACCGGGTCAGAGCCTGGCTGGTGCAGAGGCTGCAAATGTCCCCCCTCAGGACACCAGTGTGTGTCACCAGTACTGTGCTGGGAAGAGCCAGGAGCACCCAAAATTCCAGGATGGGCTCCAGGAACTGGGAAGCAGCCCTGGTGCCTCTCTGGAGAAGGGGACCAGAGTTCCCTCCTGGGATTAGAGCATGAATCATTGATGAAATGAATCAGAAGTTTGGAGACCTGGTCCCCCTGTGCTGCATGTAGCTAATAGGAGGCTATAAGCAGGGCTGGTGCACTGGGACCGAGCCCAGCAGCATGCATTTGGGGTGGGAATCCTAAACTACACATCTCCAGCAGCCTCAGCACTTACCCTGCCCGTGCAGGAAGCGACGGTTCTGGGGAAGGCAGCCAGGTGCACAGTTACTGCTGGGAGCTCTCTGGCTGTGGATCCTGGGGATCTGCAGACCTGGAAGGCAAAATAACCAAGTCCTTGGAAGCGCTCTGGATGTCGTATTGCCTTTTAGCGTAACGGTTGCATAACGGGATCCCATCTGCCAGGGGAGAGAACAAGGGGTGACGGTCACCTCGGTGCCCTACAGCATCCTGGCAGTACCTATGTGCTCTGCTGGCCCACTGAATTTATCTCTTCCTAATCCAGAAGCTGGGGGTTTACAGCTCTGGTTCCCCAGCAGTGGGGTGTATGGGCTCTACACCTACACACAGGCTGAACAGCAGTGCCCTGCAGTACGCCAGCAAATTAGAAAGCGAGTTCGTTAGCACTCACTCAATCTGCGCTAACCTGGCTTTGGCCCGTGAGGATCCTCAGTGTACCTGAGAAAAGTACATCAGAAACTGGGACTGCTGGGAGCAGAAACTCGGTAGGGCTGAGGAAACCTCGTTTGAAATCCAAGAGAGATTGGGGAGAGGCCAATGTTCCCATCACAACCATTTTGTTGAAATAACATTTCCCGTGTTTCAGATGTCATTTAAAGGGCTGGAGGCAGCAGTGGGGCCATGAAGAAATGCAGCCAGGGATGCTTGAGAGTATATCAGCAGAATTACAGTAAGAAGCATAAATACACTTTAATTGGGAAGGCTCTTGGTACGAGATGCAGGGTCCTCTCCCACAAAGGCAGAGATGCTGGGTTTGTAGGGAGCATTTGGGAGTGGCCCAGGGTGGCCGTAATGCTGCTCAGTTGATGGTAACTCTGCAACCAGCAACAGCTTGTGCTGCTGGGTGGGAACTCAGTGAGAGCAACGGGTTGGAGACCCCACGCTTGGAGGCTTTTGGGAGGAGGCTGCGCCGTTGTCACCCAGTGGCTGTGTGGCCAGCGGCGTTTCGTGCCTGTGACGTGGGCAGGCAGGGGAGGAGAGGAGAGGACAGGACCTGCTTGCAGCTCTGTGCCAGTGCTGTGCAGGGAAGCTGTGGTGGGATGGAGTCAGCTCTGAGTGCACCCAGGTGTTCCCAAGTGAGACCTTGCTGGGCACAGCCTGAACCAGCCTCCCAAGGGCAGTTTGGGAAGGGTGCAGGGAGTTACTGCTGCTTTTCTGCAGCTTCAGTCCCTGAGGTTCTGCATGGCCAGCAGCTAACGCAGCTAGGACTGCTTCTAAGTCAGGTTTTGACTTGATTTTTTCAAGGTTATTCAAAATTTAGTGGGGGAATGGCAGCAGGACCTCTTACAAGCAGAAAAGCCAAGTCAACCGTCCCAGTCCTTGACCTCCATTGCTCAGCTGGCTCTCCTTGCTGTTCCCCTACAATTTGCCTACATTGCAAAAGGGATGATCATGTGGATATTACAGAGCCTGGCAGCTGCACATCAGCTGAAGAAGCTGAGTCTCTGACGTGCTCCCAGTGAAGGCATTGGGAGCAATCCTGCTCCACAGCCGTGCTGTATTACCTGTGTGTTTGGTCCCTACCACAGGCTATCACTGCTAGGTATAAAATAATACAGAAATACAATAGTATAGATATACAATAATAGAGAAATACAATAAGTGGGACCCCGTGCTCTGCTGGGTGCTGGCACCCAGCCTGCAGCACAAGCCCTCCTGGGAAAAGAGGGCTGTGGACCTGGGAG